CAAGACACAATTCTGTGGTGGGGCATCATACTTGGAATAAACTCCCATAAGGGAAGGCTGGAACAGGCTTCCTGTTTCAAGGGGTATTTTTGTTATTCAGCTTAGAAATTCATGATGTGAACTTCTCTGTGTAAATGTTTGCTTTCACTTAGTGCACTGATTCATCCACACTGAAGCGACCTGTGGTTTTGTCTCCCATTTTGAACTCTGGCATCTGTGGTGGGATCATAAAGCAAAATGCAAATCAGATCCAACCATTCTTGTTTTCACTCCTTTGCATTATTTGGCATTTGTTCCTCCAAGATGAACCAGCAAACTCATGCTTATTCTGTGCTGCCTGAGAGTCATGGTTTTCCAGGTGGGGTTCTTATAGAATTTCACTGCTTTCTATTGAGAGCCTGCCATTTTGAAAGAAATAAGAGAGAAGGGCTTTTTTAGTTGTGGCACCCAAGTTAGGGAGTAGCCTCCCCCAAAAGGTTCCTTGTCCTCCTTGCTTTGCCAGCTTTTAGATTTCCGAAAAGATAAATCAGGTAACCATGTCCTAAAGCACTGGACAACACAGTCTGGTGGATTAGGGCATGGTTGATTGACCAAAAGCAGAAGGTAACCATTAGTGGGGAATCATCGGGATGGCAGTCAGTGACAAGCAGGGTCCCCCAGGGCTCTGTCCTGGGGCCGATCCTGTTTAATCTTTTCATTAATGACATGGCAGAAGGGGTGAACAGCCTGCTGATCAAATTCACAGATGGCATTAAACTGGAGCAGTGGCCACAACTGAGGAGCTGGTACTCCAGATCCAAAAGGATCTGGACAGACTGTGGAAGTGGGCAGGAGACAACAGGATGGCATTCAATGTGGATAAGTGCAAGGTCTTGCACCTGGGGAATAAGAATAGGTGTCATATGTACAGGTTAGGTGACAAGTGGCTGGAGAGCAGCACTTGTGAAAGGGACCTTGGGGTTCTGGTTCACTGCAGGCTAAACATGAGTCAGCAGTGTGATGCGGTGGTCAAGAGGGCGAATGCCACCCTTGGTTGCATAGCCAGAAGTGTGGCTTCTACATCGGGAGAGGTATTACTACCAATCTAAATGACTCTGTTGCACCCACAACTGAAGTATTGTGCTCAGTTTTTGGCTCCTCATTACAGAAAGGATATAGCCAGGTTAGAGTCAGTGCAGTGTAGGGCCACAAGGTTGGTGGCCGGTTTTCAGGGGATTGGTAAGAGGCGAAACTGAGTGAACTGAAGAAGAGGAGACTCAGAGGGGATCTGTTGGTGACATACAGGTATGTGAGGGGATGTCACATGGAGATGGGTAGACACCTGTTCTCCCCTGCAGAAGAGGGTAGGGCGCACTCCAATGGAGCAAAGCTCAGGGAACCAAGGTTCCATTTAGATGTCAAGAAGCACTTCCTGTCATTTAGGACCCCGAGGGTGTGGAATGGGCTTCCACGAGAGGTTGTTGAGGCCCCATCGGTGAGGGTGTTCAAAGATAGGCTGGACATGCACATGCTGGGCAATTCGTAAGTGGAGCCGGCTGGTGCCGGAGGTCAGACTAGATGGCCTGGGTGGCCCCTTCTGACTCGCTTTGTTTCTATGTTTCTATGTTTCTATATTATTAGGACCTCCATGTGAAACGTGCTCTTTGCTGGTGTCTTGTTCTTACTCTCTTTTCTTGTTTTGTACCTGGTAAATTTCAGTTCTGCACTATGCCTTGAATCTGCTTATGTTGAAAAGGTGAGACATACCAGCTGACACACACAAAACCAGCCTGAAGAGCTTTTCCTGCCATGCCATCAGGTGTCCTCACTACTTCCCTGAAAGGACAACAGCACGGCAATCATTTGAAGTCACTGTGACTCAAAATCTCATATGCTCTTTTCAAACTCTGTCTTTTCCTTAAACAGAAATGGTACTAACATATTTTCCCTGGATGATACTTCCCTTGGCTGCCAGGTGGTGCCTGTTTCCAGGTGTGTTCAGAGATGTTGCCCTGGATATGCCAAGCAGGTCCAGGAGGGGGAGCTCCCATGCTGCTACACTTGCACTCCATGCCCAGAAGGGACCATCTCTGCTCAGGAAGGTGGGTGACCCGGAGAACAGGGTGCTCCCTGAGGAAGGAAACCAATATCCTGGCCTGGGATTTTGGCCAGAATGCCAGCTTGTAAATCATGGAATCATAGAATAAAAGATTTGGAAGGGGCCATGAAGGCCATCAGGTCCTACCCCCTGCTATTGCAGGACAACAATTTACACCAACCCACTCAGATGGCTGTTGAGTTTATTTCTGAATACCTCTAGTGTGGGAGAGCCCACCACTTCTCTAGGCAGCTGGTTCTCCTGTTGAATTGCTCTGACAGTGAGGAAGCTTTTCCTGATGTCTAGCCTGAATCTGGGTTGTCGCAACTTGAATTGAGCATTCCATGTCTCACACTCCGGCATCAGCAAGGAGAGATCTTGACCTTCCTCTTTGTGACAGCCTTTCAGGTACTTATAGAAGGATATCAGGTCCCCCCTCAGTCTTCTCAGTCTTCAGTTAGAAGGTTTCTTTTGTGCCTTCTGCAGTTCTAAGCATGTTGACTCCACTGACCCACTAATGGAAACGGTTTGCAGGAAGGCTTAACAACTGTAATGCTTCTCAGGTGCCAGGTGAAGTTTTTTCTCTTCCTCCAGGCATTTGTGGAAGTGGAATACAATTGTTTTTATCAGTTCTCCCACATTTTGATGATGTCCCTGTTTGTTTTATTCTAGTTATGTTTGGCTTTCCTTATATTATCCCATGGTTTTCTGGGAGTAAGCCATGTATTATTTATGCAATTCCTATACTGTGTTTGGGATGTTCATAAAAGCATCCTAGCTGGTTGTTTGGGATGTAGGATTGATCTTACTTGTGTTGAATTCTATCTCTCTTTCATTTTAGATGCAGAACATTGTACCAAGTGTCCAGAAGATCAGCATCCAAACAAGGACAGAACTCAATGTTTACCCAAGGATATAACTTATCTGTCCTATCAGGACACCCTGGGCATCATTCTGGCTTCCTTGACCCTCTTCTTCTCCCTAATAACAAGTTTCATTCTAGGCATCTTTGTTAAATTCCTACACACCCCAGTAGTCATATCGAATAACCGGGGTATCTCCTATGTTCTCCTGGTCTCCCTTCTGCTTTCCTTCTTGTCCTCCTTCCTGTTCATCGGAGAGCCAAAGGTTGTGACATGTCTTCTCCGACAAACGGCCTTCAGCATCATCTTCTCAGTTGCCACCTCAAGTGTGTTGGCCAAAACCATCACTGTGGTGCTGGCCTTCCTGGCCACCAAGCCAGGGAACAAAGTCAGAAGGTGGCTGGGAAAGAGCTTGGCCAACTCCATTGTCATTTCCTCTTCCAGTGTCCAGCTGGCCATCTGTTCCAGCTGGCTGGCCATGGCTCCACCTTATCCTGACTCTGACATGTTCTCCCAGCCTGGACACATCATCCTACAATGCAATGAAGGGTCTATCATCATGTTCTACTCTGCATTTGGCTACATGGGCTTCCTGGCTGCATTCTGCTTCACGGTGGCCTTCCATGCCAGGAAGCTGCCTGGGGCCTTCAATGAGGCCAAGCTGATCACCTTCAGCATGCTGGTCTTCTGCAGCGTCTGGGTGTCCTTCGTGCCCACCTACCTGAGCACCAGGGGGAAGTACATGGTGGCTGTGCAGGTCTTCTCCATCTTGGCCTCCAGTGCTGGGCTGCTGGGCTGCATTTTCATCCCCAAGTGCTACATCATTGTCCTGAGGCCTGATCTGAACAGAAGGGAGCACCTCATGATGAAAACCAAGCATGCCATCTGATCCTTAGTACTGGAGATGTGTTAGAAATCTGATCCGCAGAGGGCTGGGTCAAGATCACAGCTTCTGGTTGGGGAAAATATAGTATGTATCCAGGGCCTTTTGCTTTCCTGAAATGTCCTGGTGGAATGATAGATTCAGCACAGCCTTCAGTGCAAGGAGAAGGACAAATAAATAGTATTGTTGATAAATAATAGTAGCCTGTTTTTGATGTAATTCAGCACTGGAGCAATTCTGTCCAGTTGGGTTTCTAACCTTGTTACAGCACAATGAAACTCCTGGAATGCTTATTCCCAACTTTTTCACTTACATACCCCTTGGTAGCCCATTTCCATAAACACATCTGCAAAAGTTTCCCAATTAATATATTGATGTTCTTTCAAGTTGATATGTTGTAACTGTAAAGAAATATACACTAGCAGAAATTCAGCAGTTCTTGAATGTTGGTGAAGTGGAGGTGAGTGAAAGCTGAGTCTCGTAGGGCATGTGCACAGGATTGGTGTGTTTGCAGCACTTTGGATACACCAGCATTCACCCAAATGGCAAAGTGAGGGACTGGGGCTTTTCTCGTGATTAAATGATGAAAACAGTAAGTTCCACCAGTCGTCATAATATATTCCATCAATTGCACAGCATTTGACCTGGCTTATCTTGCCATTATTCCTTTTTTTATGAAGCCCTAAATTTCCTGGTTTGTACCACAGGGTGTGTATGTACCCCAAGTTGGGGATCCCTGTACTAGAGTCTGGCACTGTTACCGAGTTCCTGTTATTCCTGCCCCTGTGCCCTCATGACCAAGAGATATGTTCCCTTCCTCCCTTGTTAGGAACCTGGGAGAAGAGGGTTGCTAACACCAGCAATGCAAACTCAAAAGAGTGGACTTTTTGCTTTCCTCCTGACATCACAATCAGGATCAGCTCATCCCATCTCCATGGCAGCCCTCCTGCTCTTCTGTTGTGACCATAGACTAAGGGCATGTGAGGAGTCTGGACAGAGCGGGGGATCACTTGGAATTACATCACCCATGGCTCCTTGAAATGGTCCAGCATTCCAGAACTGATATTTGGGATCCTTGGTTTTGGAGGCCTTCTGCAAAGATCTGTCAGGACAGGGCATGGCTGGTTACAGTCCAAGGTGGCGGACAGGTCCTCTCATGGGCTCCCTCATGCCACACTGGGCTCTGGTGGCCTTTCCTGGCTGCAGTTGTAGACTCCAAGCAGAGTTGACTACCTGGCCAATATAATTCCCCTGTGGGCTTCAGAGAATGGTGGAGAGGGAACAAGGTGGGACAATAAAACGGGCCACAGCACAGATGATCAAGTCAGGAAAATATCAGAAAGGTTCCAAGCAGGCATTGGGGGGGTTTGATGGCCCTGGGAAAAGCCCTTGGATGGCAGGTGCTGATGTCATTCAATGATGGTGTAGGTAGAAAACAGAACATGATTTGCTTCCTCCCAAAAGAGATCACACACAACATAGATGAGCAGGCTGGTCCTACTAATAGGTGGAGATAAAAATCATTGGCTGCTACCCTTTGCTCTTTGAAAACCCTAATCCTGGCTCACCAAACAACAGAGCTGAAAGTGGAAGGGTCAGGAAGTTGTGGGAACCTACTCCAAGTGGTGTGAACATTCATATCCATTATGGATGGAAAAGGTGTGGCCCTTCACAGATGGGTGCCCTACAATTTGTCTCGCCCCTCACCATGTACTGTACTTGCTAGGGCTGAAGGGACTTGCGATCCAATCAGCCAATTCATGGTTCTCATGTTCCCAAACACTGGGGTGCATCCTGAAGAATTTGCTTTCTCCTGCTCCTTTTACTGATTTTTCTCTACTAAATGCCAGCCAACCTCAGTGCTCCCCTCTTGCAGAGCTCGCCCTGCACCTGTACTTGAGCCACTGCATGAGTCCATGAAAATAATTAGCTTCCCCGTATAAGTATCAAAACATGGTGATCAATTCTGATTCCTGACAAAGCTCAAGAGTTTTTGTTGCCTTTGAGACAGATAAACTGCACAACAGATTCAAGGGCAACCCCTGGAAACTTCTTGCATCATGCTGGAAAAACTAGGGGGGAAAAGTAGGTCCCCTGCTTCAGAGAACTTTGGCTAAGCTTTAGGGCAGGCTGAAATGGCCCTTCTTGCAATTAAGTACAGCTGCCCCATCATAACCTTTGGCGCAGAAGGTGTATTTCTAAGGACACTGCAACCTCAATCCTGCAGGATTTTCCTGCTTATGGGGGAGAAATGGAAGGAGGAGTAGCAAGGAGTGCACGGACCCTGAATGTTTTCGGTGCACCTGCTCCTTCTGCTGCTACTTCCTTTTGCAGCCAGTGAGATGTAGAAGACAAAATGTTCCAGGAAACTGGACAAATATCAGTTGGGAGGATCCTATTATTACCGGACAGGGGACTACTTCATCAGTGCAATCCTATCCTCACAGTACTTCAAGTGTCAAGAGCCCTACCATTTTTCTGAGTCCCCTTTAACCAGAGTTGTCACGTGAGTAGTGAAGATTCCCTGCATGCATATCAGTGCCCCAGTAGCCCTCATTTCCTGGAGCGTGTCCATCTGTTCTTGCACTTTGGTCATCCCTTGTAAAGTGTTCTCCTTACTTTGGCCCACCATACTATTTGAGGGAGAGATAGGAGTTTCGTTAAATGAAGG